CTGCCTATTAGTTTTATCTTGAGTGAGCTGTTTAGAGAGATGGGCTTTCTGGTGAGGCTGAGAACAAAATCTCTTAGAAAGCCTACAGCTAGAGCTCAACCTTGCATTGTATACAAAAGGAGAGGGAAGCATAGAAAACTGCCTGCACGCTGCTACATTTTGCACAGTCATTACCATGCACATCCAGTGCAGACATTCATATAATATCATTGAGGTCTTTCTGCACTTTCCTAGGGTTAGAAACAAGTTTGATAATCCAGCATTGAGGTTTTAAAAACCAATACAAATCTTTTCAGAATGGTAAGCATGGACTCTTATCTCCTTTATGCAATCCACAGAAATCCAAGAGTCCATCCTATCACATGCAATATCACTACCATGCTTCTGAATTAGATGCTGGAAGTAACAACGTGGATTTAAAACAAACCGCACACTCTGAGAACAGGTCACCCATAAGAAGCTGGCCAAACTCACCGTATTGATTGTGAGAGCACTTTTCTCAATTTACATTGATATAACTGATATCAGGCCTCATGGGCACATCATCAGCTGTCAGGTAGCCAGGAAAGAGGAGTTTGGAATTCTTATAGTCGGGGCAAAACGTCCTATTTATCTAACAGACAGAAAATTTCAGGGGTATATTCAAGAGAGGCTGAATGAGTCTGCCTCTATCATGTACGTGGGTTAATGGGAAAGTCACATCTTCTTATGCAAAATTTACTCTGAGATTTACTTCAGTCCACGTTCCCATGTCACAGGTCAACACTTAGGCCTCCGCATTTGGAAAGGCATGTTGAGGTCCCAGGGGTGGCTGTGACACCCTCTGGTGGCTCTGCAACAATGTCCTGCTCTGTCCCTAGGATGCCTTTCTGCCACGCCTTGATGCAATATTAAGATTAAAAGGGAGACTGCCCATGGGCCTTTGTATGGGCCCCAGTCTGCCTGAATCCACACTGGGGCTCCCAGACACCCTACTGGTCTCTCCGGCACTGCTCCTGGGCCCCTCTATTCCCGGGCCCCTTGAGGAGCCCCTCTCTCCATGCCACCGCAGGGCACCTATAGCATTAAGGACTAATTGTGTGACTCCATTCCTCCCCCACATCAAGCTCCAAAGCCTCGTGGGTGTTACTGTAATATTGTTTGCCTGTTGGGGCTTTGGTCTCCTTCCCTTTCCTCTTAGCTAGGCCTCCTAGCCCGGACCCACTGTAGTGGACCTGGCTTTGAGGCACCAGCTCTGGTCTAGCCCTTTTGGGCACCTGTGGCCTCGCTCTCTGCCCTGCTCTGGGCTCAACATTCGTTTGGGCCTCTGGCAAGGCTCATGGTGATTTTGTGCAAGGTAATAATGGGATCTCTGTATACCGTTCCTTCCAGTCCCAACCCAAACCGCCGGTGTTAAACTGCAACCCTCCGAGCCCCACCAGGGATCCACCTGCAGCACTGCAGCCCCTCCAGCGTTCTTTGGTAGCTGCCCTGGGACCAGGAGCTCCTACCTCTGTGGCTTGCAGGGCTAGACTAGCTTGCTAGCCCGAGCCTTGGACTTATATCTTCCCAGGACCCTGCCCCCTCCCGGTCCGTTGACTACCCTGGGCTGCCTTCAGGTGCCTGCTGACTGCCTAGTTGCATGGAGAACTTCAGCCGCTGCATCCTGCCAAGCCTGCAGTGCTCCCTCTCTGGGCTGCTTCTCTCTCAATGGGACACAGCGCCCCAGGCTCTGTTACAGGCACTAAACACTGTGATGGTGGTATGCTCAGCTCCTAAAGAGAACTCCATATTTTTACTAAGCAGTTGTTCTGACTGACCTCTGTGCCATAGGCTCTTGAAGATAAAAAAGGGGCTGGGAAAGCATCTAAAGCTCCTTGGCTAGAGAATAGTTAACATGAGGAGAAGGAAAAGAACTGAAGAAGGAGTAGGGAGGTAATGGTGAAGGATTATTTTTTTCCCCAATCCCATAAAATCTCTGTACTCTGCACTTAAAAGCAGCATGCATCCTTGGAGGACTGAGCTTCTAGCCTCAAACACTGGCAACTATGGATAGTAAATGTGCAGAAAGCAAACTCACTCAGCTCCAGGTTCTCCCTCACCAGTAGCATAACTAAAAGCAATAACAGGGGACACTAGCCTTTATGAAGGAGGGAACGGGTGCAAAAACAGAAGCCACCATCAGCATTGCAGAACCTGGTGCTGCCCCATGTTTACAAATAAGCTTTAAATCTACAAAAGAATAATGCATATGGATAACAGGTTGCTTGAATGCCACCCAAGTACCTACATTTGATTCTACATCACTCCTCAGTCAACATCCATGCCTTGACTTTGGTCCACTTTGAGCTACCAACCTGGATTTGAGCAGTGAAGGTGCACAAACACAAGGCGGTCTTTCCAAGCTCCCCTTCATGCCCGTTGCCACCATTTACAGATGTTAGCAGCGCGCTGGAATTTATAAGCAAAGTGGCCTTGGGAATTTTCAAAATAGGGATTCAATATTGTCTGCTTGGTTAGGAGTCTATCTACTGGGGCCGCAGGAGAGAGGAATATCGTGTTGAACATTGGGGGAAAGTCAGTGCCCTGGCTTGTTACTGTACAGGAACGGAGCAGTTCCAGAACAGGTGCGTTATGACCCTCTTAAAGTGGGATGGGGGGGAAGGGGAATCACTTGGATTTGGAAAGCAATTTAGAGCAAAGTGAATAAGAAACTTTAGAAGCAACTGTCTAATGCAGTGACTCTCAATTACGGTGCCACAAGATCCTTCTATGGGTGCTGCTCAATATTAGCACTGTTAGGTGCGCAAACACTTACACGTGATTCATAAGATAAACTCAGAGATTTCAAATAGGAATCCCACAGAGTCCAAAACATTCTGCTGTGGCTCTTCTGAGCTCTTTGCAAGAGCAGAATTCATAGAATCATAGAAGTCGGGTTGGAAGGGACCTTGTAGATCTTCAAGTCGGACCCCCTGCCTGGGCAGGAGGAAAAGTGGGCTCAAATGACCCCAGCCAGGTAGGCATCAAGCCTCTTCTTAAAGACCCCCAGGGTAGGAGCCAGCACCACTTCCCTTGGAAGTTGGTTCCAGATCCTAGCCGCCCTGACTGTGAAGTAGTTCTTACGTATGTCTAATCTAAACCTACTCTCCAACAACTTGTGGCCGTTATTCCTTGTTATCCTGGGGGGCACTAGGGGAAACAAGGTCTCCCCCAAACCCTTCTGGTTCCCCCTAGTGAGTTTATAGATGGTCACCAGGTCCCCCCCCCCAGCCTTCTCTTGTGAAGGCTGAACAGGTTCAGGTCCCATAGCCTCTCATTGTAGGGTCTGCCCTGCTGTCCCCTTTTGAATGAGTGAAATTTAGAAGCTGGCATTTTCTGAGTCTAAAAAGGCTAAGAATAACTGGTCTAATGTACGGTGATGTTCAGAAAGAGACTCACTAAAGAGGCTACCTTTCTAATATACCTGTCCCCCATTCCAGTCATATCTGCTACTTTGAGGGGAAGGATACATTTTTATACTTTCTGGCACAGCAGAGTCAATACAACTGCAGAAAAAAGGAACTGGATTCTGTTCTGATTCATGCATCATAAGAATGTGCTTCCTTCAAATTGCTGAACCTTGGCAACTTGACAGAAAAAGCACAGTCTGATTTCAGACCTCAGGTGGCATTTTAAACATTGTGATCTAGCAAAAAACCACACTTGTGATTCCAACAGTGAGCATGAACTTTAGGTGATACTGAAGGAGGACAAATATTAATCTCTACCTCCATCATAATTCCAGCATCACTTCAACATTTCTGATGTCTTTTACTTTCACAATTGACTGAAACACAGATGAAATGACTGATTGAAGAGTTTTTGTCCCTTCCTCGCAGGGTTTTTATGGAACCACTTCTTTCAGTCTTGCTCCTGTTGATAAATTTTTCTCCTTGCTTGTTTCTTTCCCCAACACAGATCCACTTTGGCTCAGGGCTCATTCTGCACTCTCTATGGCCCATCTTTGCCAAAGGATTTACATTGGTGTAACAGAGACGAATCCTCATACCACTGAGGCCAAAGGGGAACTGAAATTCTGTGGAATTTTAGTTAAAAGCAGACACCATTGCATGTGTAAGAAAAAGCTGGACTTCCCTGGATCTTGTTGATTTTAATATCCAAGAGCATAATTTGTAATGATAGAGAACAGTCTAACTGAACATACAACTGCAAAAAGACCCTAGCTTTGACACAGTCCAGAATAAACCCCATGTCTGGCTCCTTGACCTAGCCAATTTTAATTCCCTACCTTCCAAAGTCTAATATTTAAACTAGAGAGCAAGAACAGAAGCACTTTCTATATCATGACAAACTTGGATCCCCATATATTCTGGAACAACAGCACATGAATCCCCTGGAACCAGCACCTGGGTCCTTTCAGGGTGCCTCCAATTTTCCCATGCCAGTTGCTCCACTTGACTCCGTACGTGGTTTGATCTAAGAGGACCTAGATACAGGGTCTGAGGTTTACCACTCGATTTGTTCCTTATTCCAATGACACAAGTGGGGAACAAAAGCCAGCTGTATTCGGAGGACCCTTGCTACCCCCTTAAGAATACACAGGCTTTCTGCCAAAGAAGAATTCTGCACCTCATCTCTTCCACAACATGAAAAGCTGATTTTCTCTTTCAGGGGCACACTGGTCCTCGTAAATGATAGCCAACTTCGGATGGTGCCAGTTGTCCATTTTGTTATCCCTTTACTCAGTTAAATACACGCATGTGGTTTATGTCCGAAGCAAGATTGTTCTTTAGCCTGTGCTGTAACACATTGCTGACTTTATACACATTGCTGACTTTATTTTGTGGCTTAAAGGAGATGCCAAAAAACAGACGAGTGGTTCCACAGCATTAGATTTACTCCCTATAAAAAGGTCTTAAATAAAATGTTTTTGCTTTTGCTTTGATCTTCTATCCCTTTTATTCTGTTTGACCAAACCCAAGTTTCTCATTTAAAACCAAACAGATACCACTACTCACCAGGAACTTGCCCCTTACATCATGGGAATCTCCTCTTTGAAGACAGGCAGAACTTCTGACACCTAAAGGAGAAAGGAAAAGAGGCATAACTTATCAGAAGGGAGAAAATGCAGGCAGCCACCCCAATGCTTGTTAAACCCCAATGCCAGTTAAAAACCAGACAGGGTGAGATGCACAGCGAGTAACAAAAGCATCATTTTTTTGGGGTTTTTTTGGCTGACTCTTCTGAAATGAGTGACAGACGAAAGACAATGAAGTTCTGATCCTACAAGGCTTTCCTTGAGGGTGTTCAGAGCAAGTTCTCTCATTGCTTAGGTACTTAGGGCAAGCAGGAAATGGAAAATCCCACATTTTAGCATCCCCAAAACCCCCCAATGGTGCTAATATTATATACCAGAAATACCCTTCAGTGATCCAGCATAGCAGATATGACCTGCTCTGCTAGTCCAGTGGAGATATGACATCTTAAAAACAGTCATATTAGGGTGTGGTGCAGTTCTAAGAAGGGCACTGGCAGTTCTCAACAGAAGTCCTGTTGCCAGCAGAGTAATTAGGGGTGGGCGAGTGAGGCATTGGCCCCAGGCGCTGATTTAGAGGGGGTGGCAGCAGTAGCAATAACTGGGGGTGGGCATCGGCAGCAGCCAGGGACTGAGTTCCTGGGACATGTGGAACTGACACCCCGTCAGGGTTTTGCCCACGGCACAAATCTTGCTAGTGAGACCTCTTCATGCTGCCTCATTGGACAGGCTCATTTTCTATGCCTGACTTGCTAAGAGCTGGCTTTACCCATCTCTGATTTAGAAAGGAAGAGGCATCAGGGGCAAGACTTGTTTTCAGCAACTACAGCAAATCACTGATGATAAAAAACAGTGACTGAAGGACTGTGTGAGAGAGATGGCAAGTCCTGAAGTCTGCACAGTGTACATTCAGTTTGGAAAGAGGTAGGAAATGAATAATCATGGGAACAGTAAGAATCAGGGAAACCATAGGCAGCAGATGTCACGCTTAAAGTGACTGGCTTTAGAGAAAAGAGCAAGAATATGGGTCACCTCAGTCAGTAGGGAGAGAGAGCATCACCTTCATTTTTAATGTAAACTAAAGGATTTGGAGAGAAATCTCTCCCTGGCTTGTTATTGAACTGAATGGGAAGCTGGAAAATCTGAAAAAAGATTGGGAAGGAAGACCAGGGAATTTTTTGCTTCTTTTCATCAAGTTAGAAATCTAGCAAAAGTACTACTAAACTCCCAGGTCCTTTCTGCTGGATCTGTCTTCTCCAAAAGGAAGAGATGACTGGAATCCCTGAAAGAACAAAGCTACTGGAAAGACTAGGAGGCCAGGCAGTATTATACAACTGAAATCACCGGGATGTCATTAGAGTAGCTAAAGCTGTACATTGATACAGAGTGGGTGCATGTACATGTGCTGTTTACTGCAGAGGTGACTAATTAGCTCTGCAGTGAAGTGTCACTATACATGAGCCCGTATTAGGGTGTAGTAAATTAATTAACTCCACTGTAAAACAGTACAGTCTGGGACAAGTACTATGCTAAAGCAGAGTAGTTGCATGCATTGAAATGCACTTGTAAGATGATGAGCACAGATGGATGTGGCACACGAGTGTTACAGTGCAGGGGCTGCCTGCCAGCTAGCCCCACTCCGTAGCACCTTCATGACCAAACCAGCCCTTCTGCAGCATGCTGAGCCGAGGCGGAGCAGCCCTGGGCCGGAAGGCTGACTCCCTGAGCTCCCTGCCAGCTGGGGTTGCTTTGCCACAGCCCAAAGTGCTGTGGTCCCCAGTGCACGTGTAAATGCTGTGCCCAGGAGCAATAAACTCTGCTGCAAACTGCCCCAGGGTTTATTGCCATGTGCTAATTGCATGTGTAGGTGCACCCAGTTAGAAGAAAATTGCACCCATTTGGTCCAATTTCAAAGAAAATCAGGCAATACACCGGGGGTGGGCAAAATGGCCAATCTGTCCAGCAGCTGGACTCCATTTCCCAGCAGCCCCTGCCCACATGGCTGGGGCTGGTCTCCATGGAGACCCCAGGGGTTGCCAGGAAGACCAAAGGCAGCTATGCTGGCAGCGCAGGCAGTAGTGCAGGGCAGGGGGCTACTCCAGAGCCGCTGGGATTTTGCAACTGGGGGCAGCTTGCTCCGGAGCTAGGGCAGAGCTGTGATTTGTAGCCTGCATGCTCTGGGCAGGGGCGCGCAAGCAGGGGATCACGGCTCTGCCCCGGCGACAGCCTGGTCTAGAGCAGGGGCAGAACCGTGATTCCGGGGCAGCTGGGAAATGGAGTCCACAGCCGACCAGATCTGGTCTACTTTGCCCACCCTGTGATACACGCATCCCCTGAGCTGTAATTTTCAGAAGCAATTAGTTACTGTCACCGGGGACAGCTTTTTGTACTCTCAGGCCTCGTGCTTTTCACTTCTCTTGAGAACAAGCTCCAAGATTCTTCAACTCTCGGACCCTGTGCAGGATGCAGCACCCTCTGCAGGGACCAGACACCCCACGCTGAAGTTTGCAGTAACCCAAAACAGCCTTAAAATCATGCTGGTAGGAGTAAAAGCATAATCATAAGAAAGGAAGGGGTTTAGAAACAACATAAGTGTTTCTCTTACTTTGACAGCAAGGCTAGAGGCCTAATCTCTTAGAGTTTGGGCCTCAATCTTCTTCTTTTACCCCTGTATCCACCAATCTTTGACAGTTTAGGTTTAAATCCAGCACAAATCCTTTGTTTTCAATTTCTTAAGCCCCTTCTTCTGTGCTGTTGCTCAGTTCAGCAGAGCGTCACAGGTGGTACTTCCAAGGAAATGGCTCTTGCACTTTTCCTCAAAATTTTGGTAGATGGATTGCTACTTGAAAATGCTGTACTTTTCCCTGCCTATATTCAACTAGTCCAGGGGTAAGCCAGGCCATTCTATCCAGCCCGCGGGACTCTTAAAAAAATTAGTAAATTAATATTTATTTGCTCCTGGCTGCCTGCCAAAGCTGACAGGAGCAGTAGGAACCAGGGGAGCCCTCAGCAGAACGGAGCAGCCCAGCCCTGCCCACTCCCAGCCATTTCACTCTCATCCTGCCCCCGCCGTGCTTTGGCACCACGTGGCTCCTGGCTGTACTGCCGCACCGGGGAGCACAGGGCCACGCCAGCACGAACATGTGTGTGTGTGTGCGCGTGCAGGCAGAGGCAGAGTGTCTGCGTGCGCATGTTCGTAGGGCGAGTCCCACACGCACACCCCACCATACACAAGCACCCACACCCCCCTTGCACTGCCATACATGCAGACCCCCCACATCCCCTCATACACCCCAGCCATGCCCCCACACACCCCATACCCGCACACTCACAGCCCCTATACGCACCCCCCCATGATAGACAAGAGTAGGGCTTCATTTTAAGCTGCTGTGCAATCACCTCTACGTACACCACACAAATGCATGTAAAACAGGACAAAAATAGTTTTTGAAACCAAATTAATGAATGTTGTAGATGTTTGCTTTTTAAAATATAATCTGGCATTCTTCTGGTTCCGAGATGACAAAACCCCTTGCTGAAAGCAGTGCTTCCGGGGGGCGAGGGAAGGGACTTCAGGTGACAAAGGTCAGGGGGTGGGACTTCCAGTCACAAGATGGTGACTGGGGGCGGGGCACCTGTCAAGAGGCGGGGCTACCCATGCAGCCCTCAACAGTTTGCCAAAACTTGGTAAGCGGCTCTCTGCCCAAAATAATTGCCTGCCCCTGAAGTAGCCTCTTCTCAAATTTACCCCGTTTTCATACAGTCAATCCCCTTATAACAACCAGACAAACATGTAGTAGTCATAAATATTATAGGCAGTCATAAATATTACAACAGGCATCTCTGAGCCGAATGCTGATAGCAGTTATTTTGTTGGAAAATTATTATATCTGTGACTTTGGCTGAGAGAAAGCCCACATCTCCAACCTATTTTAAACTGGTGTTGCTACTCAGGATATTAGACTAAATCTTGCAATATTCTGTTTTTTTTCTTAAAATTGAGTATTCTGGAGGCAAGTGATTTTGAAAGAAATCTCAGATTCAACACAGTAGATGGAAAATGAAAATTAAACCCAAACGTATTATGTATTTTCATCAGTCTTATGATTCTTTGGTCCCTGGCATGATTTTTGGATGCCTGAGGCTGCCAATGCAAGAATTAAATCAGGTGATAAGCAATCACGTATCTAGTACATTTCATTCACGCATTTCTAAGAATTTACAATAGGTAGGCAATCATCATAGCCTTTCGTGCCTGAGTTTTCCTCATCTGTGAAATGGTAATGAGCCTTGCCCATGTTACCTCATCAAGTATTTGTCTACACAGGCAGTTATTCCCGAGTTCTTTATGCTGAGTTGGTTTAATTCGGTGAAAGCAACACTCTTGCAAATAAAGCATGGGGTAAAACACGCATGCAGGAAATTAACTGCTACTAGCCAATTTGCTTTTAAGTTCACACTTTACCTTAATCTGAATTAAATTCCCAGTGTACACAAACCCTGAGGTACTGACAGAAATGAGAACAGAACCCACATCTCCTGACTCCCCGCTCACTAACCTACTTTTTATGGTCCAAGCTGCCTCCAGAAAGAAAAGGGTGACTGAGCTCTTCCGCTAATAAAAACATTTTAATGATTTACAAAATCATGGGGGCTCTTTCTTTACTGTCCGAGCCCCCAAGGTCTGGAACAGCCTGCCACCGGAGGTGGTTCAAGCGCCTTCATTGAACACCTTCAAGATGAAACTGGATGCTTATCTTGCTGGGATCCTATGACCCCAGCTGACTTCCTGCCGTTTTGGCAGGGGGCTGGACTCGATGATCTTCCGAGGTCCCTTCCAGCCCTGATGTCTATGAAATCTATGAAAAATATCTGTTAGAAATGGATTCTATAAGCACAAACGTTCCCAGGCAGGCTTTGCAAACCAAACGGTACTGCACCAAAAACTGGAAAGCAAAACAGCTGTTCATTGCTCACGCTGAATGGAAGCGATTCCCCAAGATAAATGGACTGTC